AGATTAATTACTGAAAATAACAGATAAAATATAAAGTTTTTCTTAAGAAACTTTTGATATCTATTTGGATATTATAAAGATTTTGCATGTGATATTAGAAAATTTTTTGATGCATAAAAGTATTTTTAATCTTAAAATGAATATTACTTTGCATGATAGATAGGCAACATGTGAAAAAAAAAGACATGAGAAAAACATTGCTTTACAAACCTTAAGACCTAATAAAAAATTTTGATATTTTGAGTACGAAAGCACTGTAATGTTTACAATTTGCCAAATTTCTTTAACATTCACTTGCTGATTTAATAGTTATAGCATAAAAACTATAAAAAGCACAAAATCATTATGAGGTCAGTCACAGAGACCGAGCCCATGCCAAAAGAGTTAATAAATAAAACATATGAATAGATTAAAGTAAGAGTTCTTAATTGCAACATAAAAATATCATTAGTCAGAATAATCAACAAAACATGTAATCTCTAAATTGACATCATTACAACTACCTGATCATTTTCCTCTAATAAGAAAACTGTAGAAGTTTTTATGTACAATTACCTCAGCTTTCTCTGGTACTTCATCATAATTCTCTTCCCACTCCTCTTTTTTGAGATCAAATTCACAAACTGTATGTGAAGATCTTTCTTCTAAGGAAACACTATCTTCAATTGCTAAAAGTAAAATGTAATTGAATATACTTTATGCATCACTATCATAATAAATTCCCGCACATTAACGTCTCTCTGTTTTTATACACAATAATTGAATGAGAGTTAAACTTTAGTCCATACGATAGTTAAGTATATCACTTTCAACTCAGACATATTTCACATATTCTAAAATACCATTTTGACTTACTGCAACAGAATGATTGTGCAAGACATTTTTCCTGATGTTTTTGTTGTTTTCTTCTCAGAGAGCAGAGGACTTAGATATTCTTTTTCTTGCAAAAGAGAACTACACCCCACCACAGAATGATTGTCATTTAATAGAGCTTGTTCTCTAATCTGTAAGGTCATAAATACTACTGACTCTTTTTCAGAAATATATGACTTGAAAATTACTAAAGAAATTACATGCACAACACAGAAAACAACCCATTTACCTCATACACTAAAAAAATACAATCATAAGTATGTAGGGCAAACAAAAATGAATCTTTATGATTCTCTTAGGTACTAAACCTAGTCTTCCTGTAAGAAGTGGGTCAATTTGGCCCACCTTAACCCTCTACTACAGGCTTGGTTCATTCGACCAAGTTCATAAGCTCCAACCTACCATCAGATCTTTCACACTATAACTTGTAATATGTTTTCTGTATTTTCCTGAAATTTGGCAAACATTCAGTACACATTACAAGTTTTTTGTACACAAATATCCAACATTTAAACCCTCTTGCTATTGACAGGTCAAAGTGTGCAGATAATGAAATTTGAGTTACATTCAAAATTTAAACTATTTTATTGTCATTGTATAGAATAAGCTTGGCATTAAAATGTCACTAATAAATCAAATTTTAATGAGTTTTATATTTTTCATTTTATAAGGAAATATTAAAAAAATCCTCAATCTCCCCTAGGATGAGAATTGTAACATTTGTTTTCTAGATCTTCTCCCTTCTTGAATTTAGTTACTACTTTTCCAAGAAGTACAGAATTTAATATATATTATTTCTTGTAATATAGATATTGTTACGTCTCCGCTTGTTAATTAATTTTTCCGTAACTTCGTTCCAACGAAACTTTAACGACACAAGTCTTTACTTAATAAAACTGGTTTATTATTTCCGAATACAACTTTACCGATACACTTAATCTCAATACTCGCGCTAAAACAACACTGTAACGAACTAACGTTAACTTCAACAATACGCTGTGACTGCAGTTCAATTACTCACTGTCTACACCTTACCGCGTCACGATGTCCCCTCCTATATATATATATCCACCCACCCTATATTTAGCAAGAACTTGAACA